GAAAAATAAAATTGAAAGTTAAATAAAACATAATTTTTCTTTTAAAACATAACTTGTTAACAGCAGCATTTTTTTATATGTAAAACTAACTGATTGATAATTCTCGTGAATTACAATTACTCTATTGTTATAGTTTTTTATTTTTGAATTTTTAATATATTAAACTATGTTAAAATCATATTTTATTTGATTTTAACTTGATTTATTGTTTTTAATATTAATTTTTTTTTTAATTAATAAACTAATAATAAAAAATTTGAATTAATTTAGTCTAATAACACAATGTGTTATAATAATTTATGTTATAAATTATTAAAAAAAAGTATTAACTAATATCTAATACTAATACTAGTACACATTATACTATTATTTTTTTAGGATCCAATCCAAATAAATTTATAAAATTCAAGGTCATATCCGACTCAGTCCAAAAAAAAAACAATTAAGCCTAATGAATGATGAAATTCATTCAAGAAATGCAATAAACGTAGCTAAAGGTTTTAAACGATCCAATATTAATGTTATGACCCAATTCGACCTGGCTTGGTCTATTTTAAATTAAATTCCAACCCGAACTGTTCTAAATCGGGCTAGCTCAGTCCGAACTGATCATTGTTACGCATTCCTGTTTACTCCTATCAATTCGGCTGTTTAGTTAAATGATTACCATGTTAACTTTATTTTATTTTAAATTTAATAACTAATAACATATTATGGCAGAAATCATACTTATATTTGTTTTACAGATGAAAAAATCAACAAAGGAAGCCATTCAAAGTACAACAAAAGGCAGTTAAAAGTACACCACAAACGTCATTTGTCTAAAACTTTGTCAGCAGGTGCAGACTACCACTTGGGAAACGATCTTATTAATGATGTGGACAGTCCCAATAACATGTTTATGACAAAAAATGGGACAATCGTGACGTCACAAATTGGTGGAACCGTTATTTTGCCCTGTGCCACAACCAAATCTGGCATAGCCACCGTAAGTTTACCAATAAATGTGCCATAATCTCTACAAATATGATTATTAGGAGATTTATAATCGATTTAACAATATTAACCTTAAAAAACCCAGCACAGGGGGGTCGCGGCACAGTGGTGACGTGGCATAGTTGGATCAAGTATAATGAAATCTGACAGTGATTAAAATCACTATCAAAAAAAAACGCTTCGATGCAAATCTTTAGATAGTGTTTAATTTTAAAAAATTGGTGGATTATTCCAAAAGCTTCATAAACTACTAGTTCCTTATTAATATCCTGATTAAGACAAAGTATGTCGAATAAAAAAGAGATTATTAGAAAATAGTATTTCCCATAAAAAAATTATATTGATCAATACACTTTTCAATAAGTTATAGCATTATAATGTTAAAAATGTAAAAAATAAAATTGAGAATTTTCACACAATAATAGCATTTGGTAGCCATTTTCACCTTGAAGATAAAATAAAGTCCGAAATTTTTTTTTT